ACACCCACCTCGCTACAACCTCCTTTCAGGTAGTTGTAGAGAGCGATGAGGTCTCCCCTCAGCCTCCTTTTCTCCAGGCTAAACAACCCCAGTTCCCTCAGCCGCTCCTCATCAGACTTGTTCTCCAGACCCTTCACCAGCTTCATTGCTCTTCTTTGGACATGCAACGTATCAGAGCCCCCTGCACCACAACCAGTTATCAGTGTTTTCTCTTCAGCAGCAGCTGAAACCAGAAAATAAATCACTTGAGTTCTCTTAAGTAACCCTGCACTCTTGTCAATATGTTTAGAACATGCAACCATTTTAAATATTTTAAAAGGCCAAAGTCTGAAACTGTCTCAAACTCTGGATTTTTTTGGCAAAGCTTTTGAGTATTATTGATGTTAGCTTACGCACTTTGTTCAGTAAAATACTGTGCTTAGTTTACGTTCATTAGAGCTGGAATGACAACTAATTTAATTTGTATTAAATCTAGGCGAAGGGCTTTTTTCATATAGACATTGTTTGTAATAACCACAAGGGATAAAATAGATGTAGCAACACAGCAGAACATCATCTCCCAACAGCAAAGGCACGTTCCTTAGGGTGATGCACGTACTCCTGCATGAGACATCAGCTGTACCAGAAATGAGTAGTCGGACCCATTCCTGGGGAGTACCTGAATAAATGAAGTGGAGGACGTCTGGCAGGCAAGAGCAGAAGACGGAGTCCTTCACCACCACCCTCACCAGTGGGACGCAGGGCGGGATGCCGCGGGGGGCCGGGGGGAAGGCAGCCTCCGCCTCCACTGCGAAGAGGCTCTGTGCCGTCCGCACGATGGAGGCATCGTGGATGTCGGCAGGGCTCTTCACCTCGAAAAGCAGCATGAAGAGGTGGCTGACGGAGCAGAGGATGATCTTGTGAGCCTCCACCACCGTGCTGAGGTCTTCAGGGTAGAACGCCACGTCTGCGCACTGACAGCAGCAGAGCAAGTTGTGCAAGTCCGCATCATAGTGTGAGGCTTCGCCCTTTAAGATCGGCATTTTTTCTGCGAAAGATAATGAGTCGGGCTGTAGAATTGAAGCAAGTACTAACAACAGGACAACTCTATTCCCAGAGACCTGATCAAATGAAGGAAAATTTTTGAAAGAAGTATTTGATAAGAAAATTTCTTGTATGCCATTTGAATATGTTTAGTAAAATACTCTAAAAATGGAAATACTTAGTATAGTAAAGTAAGAAATATAAGAAATACCTAGTTCAGTAAAGTGTCCATCCTTTTATAAAACCTCTTTAGGCACTTAGGTTTGAAAGAAACCTTGCTTGTGAATCCCAGACCTAAGGGATCAGTGAATTTCTAGTATGCGTGAAAAGAGACAACTACATATTTAGAGGTAACTGCTTGTCAATAATTATTTCACTGAATAAATGCATCAGATGCTCAGAAATCACGTGCAGGGGCATACACCTCTCCCTTGTTTTATTTGCAGCAAATAAAAATATTACTTGATGATATTGCAGAATAATAAAGCACGAAGTAATGACTTTCTTTTATAATTTGCCTGTAAATCTTTTATGTAAAGCTTTTATTAATTCACGTTTGCATTATTTCATCAAGTGCACCAGAAACCCACTCCTATTATTTTTGTCTAAAATAAATTAGAAGTCCACTGCAATGCTACATATTGCTATACAATTCTCCCCAAATTAATTAAACCATCACTAAGAGATGATGCAACTAGAGCAACATAACCAGAATAGCTAATGATAGATAACACAGCTCACAGTAACGATTACAAAATGTTAATTGCGCAAAGAACATGACACACATAACGAACGATACTAGAGACCAGACATCAGCGAGCACCTGGCTGTTCAAGCTGAGGTGGTTGAACTCGATGGCACTTCTGCATCTTTTTCCTTTTCTTCATTTTTTCAGATGACTTCTGATTCAAACTTTGGATCATAAAATATTCCAGCTAAAACACGAAATGTATTTTTAAAAAATCCTAGTTATTTAAGAACAACCTAGACATCAAACTAAGGAGAACGAGCGGGTGCTGTATGCAGGACTGAGGCTACTGCCACTATGAACAGTCATCCAGGTCACTGAGTCTCAACACTCCTTTACCAGCAGAAGGTACCAAATATAGTTGGAATTACCACAATTTAAAAGGCTACTTATTCAAATGATGGTGGTTAATTCTCTTGTATTTAATCCTCCCAGAAATGACAGGCACAAAGGTATTCAATTTACCAACTTCTGTAGGTGCTAATTACAGAGAGGAATAAGACTTGATGGATAACAGTCAGGTGCAAGTGATGGAAATAACAAAACCATGTATGAGCTCTTCAGCTTGCTGCTAACCACCACCACCACGCAACGCTACCGTGTCCTCTGGAAAAGTCACATTACGGGGTGATCTTTGTGGGCAAGGTTTGTTTCACTGGGACAGACTACAAGTGTCATCACTGCAACAAAAATGTACCTGAGGGGAAATGATCCCTTTTACAGGAATGAAGAGGCACAAAGGGTGGTTCAGTTCCAGCTAATGCATGTCTTAAACGCTTTTATCACCCAACGTATTACTGTAGCACACGTAGTGCTTTGTAAAAACTAGAAAAATACTCTGACTGGACCAGATATTGAGTGCATTCCTCATTTTTAATTGGGAATGAATGGATCCAATAAAAATTGGCTAACTGTTGTGCCAGATATTCCAAGTTACTTTCAAATCCCATGGAAACACACTGTACTTACCCACCAGGGACAACAACAGTACAAACCATGTGAAATTACTGTGCCGAAAGAACTGCATTTTTTTGATCCAACCCAAATGCCACTGGGAAAGTAACCAAAAGGTTCAAAAAAAGGCTGAGCTTAAAACACCTCATAAAACTGAAAATGAAATATCAGTGTGAAATAATTTTGTGGAGAAGACAAATAAATCTGAAAGACTGCATTTAGAAACTGCTCAGTGGGCTTCCCTGTCTTCAGGAGAGTGGAAAAAGAACAAGCTCATTAGAGGTGGGACATTTTAACAAGTCTCTCAGCTTCTGCCTCATTCAGCTTCGCTGCATCTGACCCCAGGCTTTGCTCAGGATTGCAAACTGTGTCACGACTGCAAACTGAGCAACCACAAGAATATGCTAAAAAATCAGGCAATTCAACAATCTTAACTGTCTTACTTTACAACAGCCATGAGAATTTGAGCAAATAAAATAAAAAATGTCAGGCTATTATGGAATAATTCAGGTTGGAAGGGACCTGTGGAGGTCACCCACTCAGGGCATCTGCTCAAAGCAGGACTTGTCTTCAAGGTGGGATGGGTTTGTTGAGTCCCTTGTCCAGCTGGGTTTTGATTATCCCATTCCAGCAAGATAAAAGGACAGGAATAGGAGGGGAAAAATTATTGCAGTGTGTAGTATGGCTTTACTAAACCTTCCTAGAAGGTGGTTAAAACGAGGGCAACCTCGGTTCTGCCAATTCAGCTAGCATCATAGAATCGCAGAATGATTTGGGTTGGAGGGGACCTCTAAAGGTCATCTAGTCCAACCCCCCTGCCATGGGCAGGGACATCTTCCACTAGATCAGGTTGCTCAGAGCCCCGTCCAACCTGACCTGGAATGTTTCCAGGGATGGGGCATCCACCACCTCTCTGGGCAACCCGTGCTGGTGTTTCACCACCCTCAGCGAAAAATATTTCTTCCTTCTATCTAGTCTAAATCTAGCATCAGTGGGATGCCCTCGGTGGGAGGGCTCGTGGTCTGCCTCTGCTCGCTCTCCAAATCCCTGACATCGGCCAAGCACCTCCCATGTGTGCCACCCTGCTTTCAGCCCAGGGGTTTCTCACTCACCACTCCTCCAAAGTACTTCTGTATGTAGAAGTCATTAAGAGTGTGCAACTCGAGGTAAGTAGCTCCTAGTTCCTTGGCCAGCTGCACTCCCTCGGAGGTGGTAACGCAGCTCCTCCTGTCCGAAGTGCACAGGGGGCAGGTGCAAGGCACTCCTGGGGTAAAAAGTCAGGCAAAAAAGCCATTTTTGTCAAACAATCCAGAATACTTACCTTCCTAAATAATTGTAAAGATGCAAATGGAAATGCATCTTCCATTTGCAAAAGGGAGATGGAAACACAGTCATTTTAGAGTAAGAAATCTATAATTACTGCAAAAAAATGAAATTCTTATTAATCAGTTCAAAATATTAGCTGCTATACAAAGCTCAGCTTACATTACATTAGCATTATTTTACATTCAGTTTTGTTAAGGCGGGAAAGTCAAGCAGGACTTCCAGAAGTCAGGTTTGGCTTAGGGCCTCGGTATCCTTATATGCACAGGTGTTGTACTAGCCTGCAGGTGTTACCATTCATTAATGTCACCCTTAAACTTGTTTAATTATTGTGGCCTGTCCGTGCAGGAAGCATGCACAGTAACGGAAGGGAAAAATTTCCACTGCAGTCCCGCTTGTTACGGGCATGCACGTACTGCGGAATATGATTTCATTACACACATTTTACATGATTTTATTTTAAGCCAGAATAGGTATTTTTGAAGATTATGCCAGTTAACTGATAAAAATCTGTTCGCCACCCTGGCTCAGCTTTGCTTAATGCCAGCAAGAACTTGCCAGCCATCAATGTGCTTTCAAATGTGCCGTGCATGCTCTACATTAATTTCCTCTGTTCAGACCTATGGATAACATGTAATAACACAGCTTTTTTTTATTTCTTTTGGTAGCACCATTTGCTGCTACAGAGGATTAAGATCTTAGTAATTTGTATGAGCAAACTGCTGTGTTCACACATACCTCCTAGAAACAAAAGGGCTCTGTGTCTGCACAGCAGCCTGTTCCGGCAGGTCCCAGAGCGAAACTGCGACTGGAGAGCCTGACTTCTCCCACGGTCACATTATTTAGGGAGGAAGACAGAAAAAAAAAAGTGGAAAAGAAAAATGCCAGTAGTGGAGTCACTCAGATTGGTGGCATCATGTGCATAAATAAAAAGTGCAAGAAGAATTGCTGGGGAAGACAAACTTTAGTTTAGCGAGACCTTGCCTTTAGAATGGCAGATTTATTACCCCTGCATAAGGCAGAGCATAAAAACATTTGATCATTATCAGTGAATTACTAAAGGGAAGACAATAAAGATTTAATTGTTATAGAGTTCTTTAACAGTCCGTTCTCAATCACTCAGCAAAAAGATATATGAGTAGACCCTGGCAAAACTGAGCATTACGTCCACAGAAGACACACTTCATATGGCTTAATATTTCTTTGCACATTATGAAATAAATGTCTACGTCTACATCCATCATGTCCCTTACTCATAGCAGGAGGGATGCTCAGAAACACTTGTTTTAGTCAAACTCGTAAAGTTAAAGGCAACTCACAGGCTCAAGTTTTGCATTCATTGCTTCAGGAAAATAAATTATTAAAAATCAGGCCCCACAACTAAAAAGACCATATGAAAATCAACAAAAGCACAATGCAAAACATTCGGAAATACAGAATAAAGTTTGTATATTTGTTCTATCGGTATCTGGGGTATTCTTTCTGAACCTTATTTCCCTGATGTAAACAGACAGAAGTTACTAATGTTTACCCAAACCGTGAACGTGTTCTCACCAGCATTGCCCTCGTCGGCTGCTGGACGCTTTGTAAATCCACGTGGTCCTTCCACAGTCGAGCAACTTCGGTTTTCATAGTGATTAGACAGCAACAACAACTTTGTGCTAGCAAAATATTCAGTGTAAAATTGATTCGCATCATTCTCATAGCAGACTACTGATCAGCCTGGACAGGCCATTGTGCGAACACGTAAGCTATACCATAGCCATACCATAGCTATACCATAGCTACTCTGCCGTGACAGGTCAGCTCTGTTGACGCAGCACCATGTGGCACTTTGTGATACCCAAAGGGCTGGTATGTCCGTTCATCCCACGACATCCTAGAGAATTTTGAGGCTTTTCCCACCCCCTCTCCAGTGCTTGCAAGCTGATGGACTTAGTTTTAATCTCATACACTAGAGATATTTTATACCTGAGACACAACCAGAGAGGACCCATAACCACAGGGTTCATCTCATACACTCCGATGTACGCAGCTTAATCCAAAGCACTAGATTTAATCCCCGTGTGCGATGGCTCCACGAGAAGAGTCGTTGCAGAGGTCAAAGCAGGATAGGATGCCTTTTGTCACCAGGGTTAATTAAGCGTAATGTTCTCGCCAATACACCAGTACAGAACCAAAATACATGCACATATTACTGTCATCCTGACAGACTAATTGTTTCTGTTAACAACTTGGAAAAACAATCAGCGTCTACTGAAATTACAGCATCTCTAATGTCCAAGTGAGATTTTAACTATTACTACAGGAGACTGGATACATACCGTTTTTTCTTGCACCAATAGCAGAAATTATTACTGGAACTGAACAGTGGTTTAATGCTTTTTTTATCATTGGGACATAACTGTCCTTTAGTTCTTGAAATGAAGTCTTGTCATTGACAGAGTACTTAATCACAATAATATCAGCTCCTCCAATGAGACTGCGAGAAGTGTACCAGTCACTGTCAAATATATCCTAAACAGAAAAAACACTGATCAAGAACTTCCTGTCTATAAAGGAAAAAGTGAACTATTCAACAGTCTTAATGCAAAACCTTACAAAAGTATTTTTAACTGATAACTTAATCTCTTGTTTGAAGACGTGAAACAAAGAGCAGAATTCATGCTTTGTAATTTCCTTGTTTGGAGAACAAGTTGTTCATTATAATAAACAATAAATCTCTGTTATGAATTCAGGAATTCTTCAGGAAGAAGAAAAAATAGGGTTTATCTAGGAAAATACTTTGCAGGAAGAAACTTTACTGGTTTAATTACTTAACTTTCAAATGTTTTTATTAAGGAAATGAAAGCAGCTTCAGTGGTAGAGATTTGCAGCAATTCATACAAAACCGTTATTTATCACAACATTTTAGGGAAAGGGTTACACAGAACTATGCTATGTACCTATCAACCCTTAAATACAAGTTTCATCAGTTGGGTGTGATTTTTATCTACTTCACAAGAGCTTCCATGTAGCTTTGACAAGTGTTAATGTCTTCAGAATAAGGACTTTAATCACATAACTGAACTTTCTTTTTTAACTTCACATTCAATTTAATTGTTCTGTGCTTTAAATGTAAGACTTACACTCTAAAATTATTTTGTATCCTGTTAATTTACAACTGTGCTGTAACCGCATGTAATATACAGTTATTACTTGTATATTTGTCATGAGAACTATAATTTCACAATTTCTGCTTTACCTAAAGGTAGCTCATAAATACCAATGAAAGCCATGCCTTTGCACATATGCTCAATTGAAAATTCTTGACAGAAGTCTGGAACTGGTCCAGAGAACTGAAAATCAACTCAAAAAACTAAACTACTATGACCTCTTGGGACAGAGAGACCTTATTGTGGCCTTTCAATATTTAAAGAGGGCTCATAAGAAAGATGGAAAGAGACTTTTTACCAGGGCCTGTAGCGACAGGACAAGGGGCAACGGATTTAAACTGAAAGAGGGGAGATTTAGATTGGATATAAGGAAGAATTTTTTTTTTTTTTTATGAGGGTGGTGAGACATTGGACCAAGTTGCCCAGAGAAGTGGATGCCCCGTCCCTGGAAGTGTTCAAGGTCAGGTCGGATGGGGCTTTGAGCAACCTGATCTAATGAAAGATGTCCCTGCCCACGGCAGGGGGGTTGGATTATACGGTGTTTGAAGGTCCCTTCCAACCCAAACCATTCTGTGACTCTATAACAGTCTGGTACAACATGAAGCAAAGCTAGAAGAACTTGGGATCTTGGGGAAAAAATGGAAAAAAGCAATGATGAAATAAAGAAGATGTGGAAAAGAGGAGTAAGTGAGCACAGAAGAAGTGACAAAAGGGACCCAAAGTTTGGGCTGGGGACGGTCAATGTGATTTCTGAAGAACAGGTCACAGAAATAAAAGCATTACAGATGGGAACCAGAGAAATATATAAAAGGTTATTAATATCAGCAAGTGGCTTGCATTGTCAATATAATTGTTTTTGATCACTTCAAAAGAGTCATTGTTTCGAATCTGTGGTGAAGTAGCTGCAATGCTTTTAAGTACAAGAGGTAGCATGAACTTGACGGAAATATATCAGTTGGCAAATATTTGCCTAGACTGTCAGTGCACGTCGTACCCAATTTAGGTCTTGTCTTTACAAAGAAATAAATCAGGAAATAAACTTAAAGTATAATAAGTATTCCCATTAATTTCTTTATTAGGTATTCTTGTTCCGTAATAAGAAAACCACAGAAAATTAACAAATTATCAAGAATAGCTATTCAATGATTCACCATGTTCACAAGAGCTTTAAGAGCACTGCTCTCGGTATTTGTTTTTTCAGTCAACTCAGTTAGAGACTATTATACTCCCAGGCGAAGGAAAATATCCCCCAGCATTTAACAGAATAATTTAAGCTGTGCTAAGAATATAAAGTTAACACATAAACACGTTTAGCACCTGTAGCAGTAAGACTACCAGCTACAGTGCTTTGGGACAGCCACCTAGATGGGCATTTGCAGAACCTGATCACATAGTCAGGCAAAAATTGAGAATTTTCAAGGGACAGCCTTAATATGTTTTAGCTGTTGAAGATCTCAACAGAGAATTTTTAGTAGGGTTGTGTACATTTAACATGACAAAGGCTTAAGAGAAAAATACAATACAATCAAAAAAATAATACAGAGTATTTAGTTGTTCTATGCTGGCAGACAGAAAGCATGCCTGTTCCTTTGCAATTTCCTTCTAGCTGCCTGTCTTCAAGCTCAGCCCTGGTTTGCACATGCCCATCTCTATGAGCTCGGAGGTAACCAGCAGTGTCACCACTGGGGTCTAGAGCACAGGTGCACAAATACACGAGAACTCTGCCGTGAGTTTAAGTATTAATAATAAAAGATATTTGTGGAAACTTCTTGCAGAATGTAACATGTATTTTTTACATGCTGTGATATGTTTGTGTATGGGTTGTAGCTCCCTCCATTTTACAATGGAGCTAAAGGTCTAATGCATTATGACACCATTTCATGTTACAAAACAGAAAGATTTTGGGAAGATTTTGGTGAATATGAACACAGCCGTGCCCAAGGAAAGAACCAACTCTGACCCTCGCCCTTAGCTTCAGCATAAACCTAGTCCTGACCGACAGCAGAGGACAGGGCTCCTGGGTACCAATGTGCATCGAGCTGTGGCTCCATCCTGACACCAGCCCCACCAGCAGCAGAGGACATGACATGTGTATCTGGTACACACGTAGGCATGCACTCTGCTCTGGCCCCAGCCCTCATCCTGGCTCTCCAAGGAGAGTGTTGTCCAGTAAAGCACCAGCCTGGAAGACCCTCCATGCCCTAACCCCAACCAGTGGAAGCTCTAATGCTCTTCTTGTTGATGGGAACCTCCACAGAGTACGCTGAAGTAGACGTGTTTGCGTGTGCGTGCTCATGCATATTAACACAGCAGCAGCTTAAGAGGTCAATGTCACGTAGCAAAAAAACATACAGTTGTTTTTTTTTTTCTAATGAAAATAATACTAATAAGAAAAGTAGGTGCATTTTGGAAAATGAAACAACAAAAAGAAAATATGGCCATTACCTCATATGATTCCCCTACCCTTTCTGTACTTAGCCCAACTTGCTAAGTACAGAATTATTTCCATCTCTGCAGGTATGGGGAAACCTCACAAAATCCTTACTGAAAACAGCCACACAGGTGTGCAAATACACCTCTTTGTTTAACTATTAGGGGAAAGAAATGCTATGGAGACGTGGTGCAGGCTGTAACAGCTTCCCAGGTGCGTGTGGCTGCACGTTGCAGCAGGTTTGTGGAGGTCTGTGCTTTCCGCCACTGCCCCGTGCCACTGCTTTGTGTCTCTGTTAATCTATCAAGAAGGATTTTACCAAAGTTTATGAAGTTCTGGTGGGGATGGACCCCACTTTCCCAAGGCAAGAGCCAGCCAAGGGTACATCAAGAAGTGAAAAACGCAGAATGCACCAACCAACGTCTCACAACACCCGATTTCTGTTATTCTTCTGCAGTTTCCCTATGCCCTCACATATTTGATTTAACCCCACCGAAAGCCCATTCTTGAAGATGGATGTTATGCTTAAAAACACAGAAGAGAAAGGCATGTTCCCAGAGGTCTTGTTGCAATTATTTTCATTTTGTATCAGCGTAGCATAGCCTGCTCTGTGCTGGGAAGATCCTCCAAAACGTCTCTGACAGCGAAAGGTTATTTGCCCAAGGCATCACTGAGACGGAGCATCTGGACCCTTAGCCAGGTTAAGCCAGTTAAGTGGATTATCACTTTTAGGGAAGCTTTCATGCAAAAATGGCAGAGGGAATTTCCTCAGATGATGAGCAACAGTTCAGATTCAGGAATAACCTTAATTCCAGGCTCCAACTATGAAATTTATGTAGCAGCTATTCCTCATCATGCTTCCTGCTTTTGGCACAGTCCATTTCCCAAGACAGCCATCAACAAAAGGAAAAAGTAACTGCATAGCTAAGGTTATTATAATACGACCTTATTAATTATGATTATACTCCTGTCACTATTCCTCTCAGGACTTATTAGAAAAAAGCTTCATTCTTTCCTTGCATGTCTCCATTCTACACATCTCATAATATATTCTTGCCATTGGTAAATCATACTTCTCAAGCATTAACGTTGAAAATAAAGCCTTCAGAGGCAATGAAGACGTGATTTTCCTACACAATCACATGACCCCTCAAGAGGACAATACTTGCTTTGTTAAAAATAATTTATGAATGCCTTTATGGAATGGCACTGAAATCCACTGTGCCCCTGCAATGCCCACACTCTTTCTAAAAGCTGCTCGCAAATGTCCCCACGTCCACCCAGCCCAGCCCTTGATCTGGGGCAGCAGAGATAGCAAACGCTCTTTGGGGGAACGAGGGAGCCTGGCCACCCCTGAGGACCATTCCCCTGGGATTTCCCCGGGATCCAAGGGGGCTGCACTGGGAATATTGGAAAGTTCATCTCTCTCTAGGATCCATTTACAGATCCGTTCTCCATTAACAGAGCCTTCTTTCCAGTGATGCTTTCCACACCGCATACCAGAGCCTTCCCCATTTTTGCAAGGTTTCTCTTCAATTTCTAATCAGTCAGGTCCACAGCAGAACAAATTTTGCAGGTATACTCTCCATAACTTACTAGTCCCCTGAACTTAGTAACCTGCAGCACAGAAGGAAGTATCTTCTTCAGAAATCAGGGGAATTCAGGCCACAACCCTGGAATGCCACTTTTGTTTTTCACTCGAGTCTTTCCTTAACTGGTTGAGCTGACCCCCCCCCAAAAAAAACCATAATGAAGGCTAGCATTGTCCTGTGTTGTCCTCTCGTAAATTAATTTAATAATATTTGTAAAAAGCAAAAATAAAGAACACAGTAGGGAAAATAATTTACCAGGATATGATCACTTCTTGTAAATTGCCAACTTCAGACAGCCAAGCTTAAAAATGAGAAAGGATGACATACTAAAAAATGAAAAGTTGCAAGCTATAGTTTTGTACTGAAGCAGTAATTTGACTTGATTTCTAAAAATAATAAAATTAAAAAGTGGATCAGATTATTTTGCCTTCAGACATGTTAAGGGCCAGCCAGCCTAGCGAGCACAAGGAGCACAAGGATGCTGATGCAGGGAAAAAGACAGATAACCACACTATGGATGATACCATGGACATGAAAGCTCACAGGGTTCCAGGAACTACTGCTGTTGGCGCAGTAAAAAAAAGCAGACATAAAAATATGAAAAGACTCAGGGAAAGAGATTGTTGAAAGGGAGAATTTAAAAAAAAAGTAATTCAGAGAACACCTTTTCAAAATTGCAATTAATGTATTTGAACACTAGTGAGTCCCACGGAGGTCTGCAGCTCTGTGCAAGCCTCTGAGCAGGCACTGGCAAGCCTCCACCGCAGGTACAAACACAGCACAGCATCCATCCCTCTGCAAGTGCCGAACCCAGCACAAGGCGCTCTCCGAAACCCAGCTGCTCTGTTTTCTCCTTTTGTAACATTTCTGCTACCGGGAACATGATGCTGTCAGTGATTCTCTAGAAACTGGGCAGTTTTTATAAACTAGGGGAAAACAAAAAAACCTTAACATTAGAGATGAATGGAAAAAAAAAAACCCACAACCAAAAAAACCCCCAAACCAAAACTAAAACCAAAATCCAAAACCAGGTGGCTCGCAGAGGAAAAAAACTAAAAAGGACAGCAAGACCCCCAGCCCAGGACCGAAACACTCTCGTATCCTCATAGTACTGCTCCAAACAAGAGAGCAACGAACACAGGTAGGGGACACTCACAGTGAAGTTTTCATTCTGCCATTTCGTTTCCAGCATCATAATTAAATGAATCAAAATACGAATTATAACTGCTATGCTATGATTCATTCTGAAGTTGAGGAAGATTCACTTGCCATCAGATATTACGAATTTTGTCTGCACTTTTTCTGCAGTTTTCACTTGTACATATGCAGAAGCATAACAAAATTCAGTATGAGGTGGCTGAAGTTGCAAACTCCACACAAGCCAATAAAATGGCAACGCAGTCCCCAAGACTGTCAAATCTGATATAGAGTGCTAAATAAAACAACCTTTTCCAAAGCAAATCTTAAAATTCATCTTGCAAATTACTCCTTGTAAGTTACTAGCTCCCATACTGAGGTTTACCCCAAAAATCTTAAATCTTAAAATTCATCTTTGCAAATTACTCCTTGTAAGTTACTAGCTCTCATACTGAGGTTTACCCCCCAAAAAATTAGAAAAACCGCGACATGCTAGTTCAACATGCTTTATGAGAGCAAAACTTGAGCATGCATTAGCAACTGATCAGCTATTAAAACCACAATATTCAGCATGGATGTTAGCACACATATACATTTTCCCTAGTTCTTTATATCTCCTTTCATCCTGGCCTGCATTTTTTATCAAAATGTTTTCCAGCCACGTGAATCACAAGGATGTTGGCCCACTTGCGTATCTGTCCCCTGCACGCGGGAGATATCAGCACGCAGCTTTGCAAATGTAAGGCAGGACACAGCGGGCCATAGTGATATACCCAGTGATTGACACACGGAGATCAACGCGGTTTTGGAAACAGTGTCATTGTGCCCCCAGATTTTGAAAAGTCTGCGCCACCACTATCTCTACAACCCCATGTCATCTGTGTAAATGATAACATCCTCCCCAAAGTCGGCACTTCCATCCTGCACCCTGCAACTGCCACAGCAAAGAGCTTCTCACAACATGCTGCCGCTGTTTTGCATGTTGGCAAACATGAATTTATCCTTGTAATTTTCTAAACCAAGCAATATCAAAGAGTATAGTACCCGCTCAGGCGGTTAAAATATTTATGGAGATGCTGTGTGAAAACAGCAGTCCCACGGCAGGTTGGAAACATCGTTCTCCCGTGTCCGTCTGTAACATTTGATGGGCATTGCCTTGAGTAATCATGCCCAAGAAGCCTTGCTTCCTAGCTCTCCAGTTTGGCAGCCACCTTCAGCAACCCTCAGCTTATAAAATACCGTGCTCTCACAGCAGCGCTGCTGCTGTTTCACCAACCACGTGCCCAGCAGGATGATGCCACCATGGCAGCGTTCACTGCACGGTCCAGACCTTTCACATTTCTCCAACCCGTCAGTGCATGAGCACTTTGGCAGCTGCTGAGAAACCTTGCTGCAGCCTTTTCAAAGAGACATATAGTGCATAGTAAGATGCCCAGTATCATAAGATCATCAGGAAGAGTTCAACCGAAGACACTTGAGCTGTTGACCCCTCCTGCAGGCTCAAGAGAGTTGAGCAGTGTCCTGGGCTGACAAGACATGTGCAGCAGCAGACTGAAACACGAGCAAACACACCCTGTACCACAATCTATCTCACAAAAGAACCCGCCCATGCACTGGGGAGCCCTACCTGGTAAACTTGCATCCATGCTGCTTTTCCAGACCGATCGCTGTAGAGGACAAAGAGCCGTTTGCCGCCCTTGAGTTTGGAGACTCACAGCTACCAGCGTACTCAGTTGCCAAGTCTATGTCTAGGACTGGCTTGCCTTAATCGCATGGATTTAATCTAGATCAGATACAAATCTCAGGTAAAATGCAAATCTGCCTTTACATTATGCTCAGATGACAGAAATGGAAATAATGCAAGGCCCACCATACCACCACCACTATGTTTCAGTAACGTGCAACAAGAACCTTTTTCCATGAAGAATATGACATATTAACAACAACCGTACTTGAGGCAACGTCAGTCAACGTCTTGAGCTGTCATGTCCCATTTCCCCAGGCTACCAGAGGAATAGTCCTGAAAGGACCACCGTGACGTAGCACACCTCAAGCATCCAGGCTGTGGAAAACAGTCCTGTTCTGCCTAACCCCAGCAAGGAGACAGCTTTACTCAGAACAAATAACCTCCTGCAGAGTCCAGTCCAGCTATCTGAGATGTCTTCTACTAAGCTAAAAAAGCCAATTGTTCCTCATCATTACCCCTAATAAATCTCCTGTCTCCTTTAGCTGAGAAAGGAAAAAACAACAGGCCTCAGAAACATAATGCTGCAGACAATAACAAGCTAGCTTTTCAAGGGCAAAAATGGTCAGGTCTCCAGAACTGAAGAACCTTGTTTTGTAGAAGAGCAAATGCAAATAGAACGACATAAAAACACATGAACTGCATCTCCAATCTAGGTCCTTTCTTCTGCCCTTCTCCAGCTATCCCTGCCTGCCTTCCCCCCTCCCTGACCAACCTCCAGTCCTCTGAACACCCTTTGAAGTCCTACAGCCTTGATTTATATTCAGGAGCTTTTACTCATTGCTGCGCTCAAATGACTCCAGCAAACTGCGCGTGCAGGTCACATGCGGCTTCAAAGATCAAAAACAGAATCCCACAGTCCATCTGAACCAGTGTCTGTAAGTGCAACAGACAAAAAAGCATGAGAAATAGAGAACAGAAGGATAGCTAAACTGGATCGTTCCGTTTTAAGATTACGAACTTCTGATCATGTATTTCTAGAACTGTCAGGGTTCCTGCAGATTCCAAAAAAAGTTTCCCTTAGAGGACTGCAAAAATCAGTCTAAGGCTAGAATTATGGAGCTGAAACTGATTGTTTTAATTTCTAAAAGCTGCTAAGCTTAATTTTTTTTAAGGCTACTAAGTAGCCATTAAATATTTTTTAATTTAGATTATCAGTATCATTTCTTACATAATCTTTGAGCTGCTCATACTCATAACTAAGTTATCTCACTTACTAACAAAAGTGCTGACAAACTGGAACAGTGCCAAAATCCTTTTTATTCACCTTCAAATAAAGGAAATAATGTTAAGATGTGATTATTCATTGTAACAGAAGTAAAATGACTCCATATACTGTATTTTGCAAGACATCTGATCTTATAATCTGTCATTTTTCAAAGCTGGAAAACTGACTACCTTTCCACTTTTACAGAAAAAAAAAATGTTTAATTGTTGATAAATATTTGGAGACAGTGCTTATGATGCAGTGTCACAAACAAGGGGTTCTAGTTTGCCTCAGGATTACCTTCAACACAGTTTTCACTCAACAGAACAGTTGAAGATATCACCTTCCTACAGAGGAGGTGAGCAGCGGCTTGTTAATGAGAAACTTTCTGTAGCACCTTTGAGACATTGCAGCATTTGCCTGGTTACATTTTATATGCTTTTACTATTTGCAATGACTAAAATATGAATAAAATCTCACAATAATGAAAATAATTGAAAATTAGGATAAATTTCCATTTGATTAAAACAGCTTACACTGTTAAGTGTGGCTAAAAAGATCGAGACTGGTCTCTTACCCAGACAGGACAGTCGTGTACCACCAGTCTGACATTTCCAAACACGCAGGCTTGATACTCGGTAAAAACTGGGTTTCCAACGTGACTGGCAGACAAGCTGCTGTCAATCTGGGAAATGAGAGCACTTCTCCCGAGATAGCTCCAGATCAGGCTCGGCTGCCGATTGTCCTCAGAAAACCCATCGTCTCTTTCATTCCCAAAAGCTACAATATTAACCGACCTAAAATAAAAGTAATAAAGACAAAGCTGTGTTAACAAAGATGAAGGGCACGGATAAAAGGAAAAAAAAAAAAAATCCCCTTAAATCAAAACTAACATATTAATCCTTCCGAATCCTCTTCCCTCCCTGGATTTTAACAGCCCCGGTAATCAACAGCAAAACACATACATGATCTCAAATCCAACAGCGGGATGAGAGCAAAGCGGAAAAGAAACCTGGAAACGCTGCTTGCATTACAAATCCCCAGCTTCTTGGCTTTTTATTTGTTGGTGTCCACCTTCAGCCTCGCTGCTGCGACCTCCGGGGCTCCTGCCGCATTCCCTCGCCTGCAGCCAGTCTGGCTAACTCGGTGCCGGCTGCTCCGGGCGATGGACTGCAGGCGCACGCCAGAGCTGCAGCAGCAGCAGCAGCAGCAACAGCAGCAACAGCAGCAACAGCAGCAGCAGCAGCAGCAGCAGCAGCAGCAGCAGCAGCAGCAGCAGCAGCAGCAGCAGCAGCAGCAGCAGCAGCAGCAGCAGCAGCAGCAGCAGCCGCCCAGGCACTGGTGGCTGCGTTACTCAGCAGCTGTAGGTGAACTCGAGGCGTAAGGCGAGCGGCCGGCCGGTCGGTCACGGCCATCGCATCCTGACGTCAGTCAGCAGGAGCACAGCACACGCAATGGGCAGAGCGAGCTGACGTTTCTGCAGAGCCAACACGGTGCAGCCAGGTCAGCAAAGGCAGACAAAGGCACTTGAGCAGAGCGGCGTCCGACCCTGTGCGGGGGGCGTTTGCAGGGCACGCTTCTGCTGACGCCCTGCAGAAAAAGGACCAATGTCGCAACACCAGGTCGCTGCCACAGCTCACCTGCGCCAGAGGAGAGACCTGCACCGAGGGACCGTCAGAGCTGAAGGAGAGCAGTGGACCAAATCCTCTCTTAAAGTATATTTTTTTTTAGGTAAATAGTATCTGTTTTTTCAATATTAGGCTGATAATTTCTTAAATGTCCACACAGATTTTTTAGCCTCCCTGTGCTGCTTAAAGCGCTGTTTTCAAAAAGGACGATCTCTAATTATAATAAAATAAACACAAATACGGGGAACCAAATCCATTCTAAAATGGCATGTTATCTGTCAGATACCACTATACACATCAGAGTAAAAAAAACAGAGTAAAAATATTTTAGGCACATTTCATGATAAACAGACACCCTCTATTATGTGAAGACATGTTGCTGTTAATCCCACGGGCAAGAACTCATTCAACACAGGTCTTGATACGACTATCCACAGATTAACAGACCTTTGACAGCAACAGTCCATCTGAGAAAGGTACTATTCCACTATTGGCAAATGTGGGAGATGACAACTGATGTCACTGCCAAAGTTTTATACCAATTTTATATTGATTGGCCAGGCCATTTTTAAAAAGCATAAGCATTACTATCTATTATATGCTAATGAAGTCAAGTATTACTTTTTATATTTTTATTATAAATTCTATGGGACCTATTGAAAAAAACAAAAAACAAACATAAAACAAACCAAAAAAAAAACAACAGAAAATTTACCAACATTTTTGTTTCCCCATGTTTTGTCACATTCCAGTTTCTTCCGCTTTTCAATCTCGTGTTGCTTAGAAAACTAAAAGACGAATGACAGTTGGGGGGTTGGATTTGTTCCCCCCCACTAAAAAAAAGTTTGAATCCATGTTTCTTAGGTGAGTTAAAAAAATGCAGGCAATCAAAAGAAGCCACTATTTTTTTCCCAGCTGATCCTCAGACTGTGATGTATCGTCTTCCACATCCAAATCCTCAGTAGTGTCCAAACACTGGATACATGAAGTTCATTTCATGAGAGCAAACATACTTGGAGACATCATGCTCTTTCAACCATGTCTATTAATGTACTTTTTAGAGGGCACTGAATATCCCCTGGGATCCTTAAATTTGAACTTGTAGTGGTCTAGATGTTGAAAATGAGGAAACTTTTGAGAGAAAAGTTTTTTACAACACTAGTGAACAAAACCTAGTGTAGCTAAATACATACATATGCACACACATACACATACGCAAATATATATACACACATGCACACATATATACATTTATACATATATATATATA